TCCCACTTCATGTCCTGGGAGACTGTGATTCCCAGGGACTTGAAGGTCTCGACGGTTGACACAGTGCAGTTGGATAGTGTGAGGGGCAACTGTGGTGAAGGATGTTTCCTGAAGTCCACGATCATCTCTACAGTCTTGCGCGTGTTCAGCCCGAGGTTCAGCCAGAGCTCCAGCTGCTCCACTTGTTGTCGGTACGCAGACTCGTCGCCGTCTTTGATGAGACCGATGACCGTGGTGTCGTCTGCGACTTTATGAGTTTGACAGCTGGACTTGTTGAGGCGCAATCGTTTGTGTAGAGGGAGAAGAGCAGTGGAGAGAGGACGCATCCCTGTGGGGCTCCAGTGCTAGTGGTGCGTGTTGATGATGTTGTTCTTCCCAGTCTCACCTGTTGTGTCCGTCCCGTCAGGAAGCTGAGGATCCACTGGCAGATCCTAGGGGACACACCGAGGTGGAGAAGTTTGGGGGTGAGGAGTTCCGGGATGATGGTGTTGAACGCAGAGCTGAAATCCACAAACAGGATTCTTGAGTAGGTCCCTGTGCTGTCGAGGTGCTCGAGGATGTAGTGCAGACCTATGTTGACTGCGTCCTCCACAGACCTGTTTGCCCGGTAGGCAAACTGAAGAGGGTCCAGCAGGGGTCCGGTGACATTCTTTAGGTGGTTCAACACAAGGCGTTCAAAGGACTTCATGACCACAGACGTCAGAGCGATAGGCCTATCATCGTTCATTTCCGATGTTGCAGATTTCTTGGGAACTGGGATGATGGTAGACTGTTTGAAGCAGGATGGGACCTCACACAGCTCCAGGGATCTGTTGAAGATTTGTGTGAAGACTGGAGCCAGCTGGTCAGCGCAGACTTTCAGGCAGGAGGGGGACACTTTGTCAGGCCCCGCAGCTTTCTTTATCTTCTGCTGCTTGAAGAGCCGTCCCACGTCCTGTTCGTGGATCTGTAGGGGAGAAAATGAGGGTGGGTGGGTAGATAGAGTAGTTTCTGGTAGAGGTGGGTGTATGTGGGAAAGGGGTGTGTCCTTTTCAAATCGGCAGAAAAACATGTTTAGTTCATCAGCAAGACCCTTATTGTTCACTGTTTGGGGGGGATGGCATTCTATAGTTTGTGATTGCTTTCAGGCCATTCCACACAGATGCAGAGTCGTTAGCAGAGAACTGGTTTTTCAGCCTGTCTGCATAGCTTCTCTTCGAGATGTTAATTTCCTTTGTCAATTGGTTTCGGGCGTATTTGTACAGCGCCCGATCTCCACTTTTAAATGCGGCCTCTTTCTCTTTTCTGAGTTGCCTGAGTTTGGGAGTGAACCATGGATTGTTATTGTTGAAGGAGCGGAAGGACTTCGTTGGTACACACATGTCCTCACAGAAACTGATGTATGATGTTACAGCGTCTGTGTATTCATCCAGTGTGCCCCATGAAGTTTCAAAGACGCCCCAATCAGCAGTCTAAGCATTCTTGTTGAGCTAGCTTTGCTTCATCTGTCCATTTTTCACAGTCTTAACAACCGGTTTAATACATTTGAGTTTCTGTCTGTATGTAGGTATTAAGTGTATTAAATTGTGGTCAGAAAGACCTATTAAAATCGCCCAAAATGATCAGGGGTGACTCTGGGTATTTTAGTTCGAGTTTGTTTACTTGTTCAGCTAGCGTTTGTATCGCCGTGTTAGCGTTAGCTTGTGGCGCAGTGTAAACACCGACTAGTAAAAAGGAGGTGAACTCACGTGGTTAGTAGAATGGCTTGCAGTTTAAAGACAGCGACTCCAGGTCCGGGCTGCAGTGTGCGTCGAGCTTCGTGACATCAGTGCACCATTTTTCGTTGATATAGAAGCAAATCCCACCACCTTTCGATTTCCCTGATAGCTCCATGTCGCGGTCGGCTCGGAGAAGACGGAAGCTGGGTCAATGTAGCGCAGAATCTGGGTGGTGGTCACTGAGCCAGGTTTCAGTGAAGCAGAGCGCAGAAGAACGTGCAAAGGTTTTGTTGGTCTTTGTGAGGAGAAGAAGTTCATCCATCTTGTTTGGCAGAGATCGTAGATTAGCAAGATGGATCGATGGGAGCGGTTTCGAAATCCACGCTTTAAGTGTGTTGACGAAAATCTACCAAACTTTCACGGTATCATACGAACACGGGAAAGGGGCGTCCACTCGACGTCATGTAAGTCAAGCGGGATGAGGAATGGTGCCCTGAGGAATTCCACTGAGGACGGGTGACATCTTAGGGGGGAAAACAAAGGATGAAAATGAATTTTAGATTGAGTGCAGCACCTGGAAATAGAACTCAATTTGTGCACGTATTATATAATTTGTCTAACTAGTTTTACTGGAGTTATTATTGGGTAGGGATATGCTTTTTCGCCAAAATTCCACATTCAAAGCACTGAAGGTGCTTCCACACACTGTCCTCACTTACCTGCTGACAACGCAGGAGCAATTGCGGGGTTATCTTGCTCAAAGGACACTCGGGCTTAGAGGCTCAGGATTGGACCCCCAGCCCATTTGACACACTAGACAAAGATGATGCAAAAGGAGGTTTGTGTCAAGGAAACAACTGACGTGTGACCAGCAATTACAACAGGTTAATTTTTGGAAGTGGGACCAGAGTGCCAGTGGAGGCCTATAAGTGAAAACAAATATTTAATAAAAGACCATTGCTTTGTCATCATTAAAAGGCATACTTAATGTTTGGAGGTGGAACCAGAGTGAGTGTGCACTCAATTTGATAGCATGGCAGATGCTTTTGCCACAAGTCAGAACATGAAGGGACTGTGTTTTGCATGTGTCATCAACTTAAATGTTTAGTGTTCTTTTTCACTAATTTTCATTTGAAAGTTATTGTAGGACAGTCAAGACAGAACTGCATCACTCAGTGAAAAATGTAGAAGTTTAAAAATATGCTGTTAGGTTGTTCTATTGCCAAATATATTTGCTTAATTTGAAGAAAATCCAACATGGGAAAATAAAACCTGGCAGGCGGATGCAAAGCATAGAATTTTATTCACGGCAACTTGAGTCAGAACCACAAGTCGACATCTATGTAGACAGGTGAGAGCTCTTTCGTTTGTATCATTATTTATTTTTATAAGAACGCAACACTTTTTTTCCCGGGTTTTTCAAGAAGTTAGTTCGGTTCTCGTTGAGAAAGACTGTTTTTTGGAAGCTCCAAAAATCTTTCATGCTACACAACTCAAATCACACCGTGCAAGGAAAACATTGGGAAAGGTGTCAGCAGAGTTTTATTTCGACACAACTTGCTCCGTGTTGAGTGGGCATCCGGCTCACCTGTTTTTATTACTTAGAGACACTGCTCACCTGTGGGCAAGTCCTTGATTGTGGTTACGTGACATGCACCGTCGACCGTCAAAAAACAAAAAAGAATCAACAAAATTAAATGAGAGCATAACAATAAAATGGTGGGTAAAGTGCAAAACGGTTATTTTGTTGTTTGACTTGGAGAAAATTTGACTGCTGTTAAGTCGGATAAATCATTAAGGACGACTTTGGCTGTGTCTTGGTGCTATGCGAGACATCTCTTTTTTGTGGCAGGAAACTGAATCGCAGTGGTAAAGAAAGTTCGCTCACTGTCAAAGCTCTTGAAAACTGAATGACTTAGAGCGAGTCCCCAACTTCTGAGGGGACTACACTGGTGCCGGTCCGCGGCTCATTTGGTACCGGGCCGCACAGAAAGAATAAATGACTTACATTCCTTCCGTTTTATTTATTTTGGACTCTGAAAGGTGTTTTATTTTGAAAAATTACCGGGTCCTGTGTTACATCCGTCTACAGTATGCCACTCTTGATGCAGGTGAAGGCGGCGCTTCTCGGTCACGTGATAGGTTACTGCTAAAATGAAATCCAAGAGCAAGCAAAATGAGTAAAAATACAAACGTCTTTGGATAGTTCCTTAGGGAAGGGAAAAGGGCCCAGCCAGAAGACAGAAGAGGAGCCTCCGACTTCCAAGAAAAATAAGGCTACGTTTCATAAGACAGTATCCCGAGTCCGACTTTAAATACTGATTTATCTCCACGGGAGAAGCCCACTCTGCAAACATGCGGCGATGGTGAGTCCTATTTGGTGTTGCTTTAGGGGAGGACTTTGAGCCATCCTTCTACAAACTTGTCTACGGCATGTCTTGCCACCGGCTTCAGCCGACACAACGACACGGAGAGGGCGGGAAAGGGGCACACGTTCGAGGAATCTCGCGCCGTGCGAATATCGGATGGCTCGCTCTACAACCAGGTGGCACTGATAACAGCCGCACATGACGACACGTGCGAGGAAGGTGAGGAAGGTCAGGTGAGGCCTCCAGTCATCTTAAGGGAGTCACCGCCTCAGGTCTGCTTCCTGTTTGGTCGCCACAGGTGAAAGTGGACCAGGGCGGTGCTAGGACGTGTTAGTGCCAGGTTAGTATCGAACATGCGAGAGGCGCAGTCTGTCGGGCTGAGTTAAATGTGCATGTTGCTGGCAGACGAGAAGGTGAACCTCCTGTCCCTCATCGTCCTCACCTTCCGCCTCATCTTCACCAAGACGCTCGCCATCAACTGTGTCATGACCCTGGGCATGTGGTTCAGCGCATCAGAGTAGCCAACGCGGCATTCTCACCACCTTCCTGTTTTCAAACACCTAAATGGAGGAGTAACAGCCGCAATTAGTTTGGATGGGTTTGTTTGTGTTTGAACTTGCATGCTGTCTTCATGTCAATGAGCTACCATATCGATCATTAAATCAATTTGAAAAATCTGACGACATGAACAAGGTTTGTTGGTTAATTACTGTAGTGGTGTTGAGAAAGGGGCCACCATGCTACTAAATACTTAAAAAAAATTAATAGAAAACGAATAAAGGTGATTCATTTCTGTTCACAATGGAGTAAGGGGTTGTCAAAAAGAAAGTTGTTTTTGTTGTGTCATGTTAGCGCCCAACAAAACGCATAATGCATGCAAGTTAATGTGTGTGTGCATCACAATGGATGTATGAGCGTTTGTTTAATACAGTGACGGGTCATTTTGACCCGAGGACAACAGGAGGGTTAAGAGTTTGCTCTTAACCCTCCTGTTGTCCTCGGAATCAAAGGTCTACTACATTGCAATGTGTGCATCCATCTGTTGCGCTGTCTTTGCTTTTGCTGCTTTTTGCACAGGAAGTGGTCACCATGGCACCTGTGTCACAGATGACAGCATTTCGGTTCCGGTAAAACAGGTCACACCACCTCCTTCAAAGGCTGAAATAACTGGAGTTCCTGATCTCATTCTGATATTCTTTTGCCCTAACCATGCATTTGAAATGTTGGTCGCCACAGGTGAAAGTGGACCAGGGCGGTGCTAGGACGTGTTAGTGCCAGGTTAGTATCGAACATGCGAGAGGCGCAGTCTGTCGGGCTGAGTTAAATGTGCATGTTGCTGGCAGACGAGAAGGTGAACCTCCTGTCCCTCATCGTCCTCACCTTCCGCCTCATCTTCACCAAGACGCTCGCCATCAACTGTGTCATGACCCTGGGCATGTGGTTCAGCGCATCAGAGTAGCCAACGCGGCATTCTCACCACCTTCCTGTTTTCAAACACCTAAATGGAGGAGTAACAGCCGCAATTAGTTTGGATGGGTTTGTTTGTGTTTGAACTTGCATGCTGTCTTCATGTCAATGAGCTACCATATCGATCATTAAATCAATTTGAAAAATCTGACGACATGAACAAGGTTTGTTGGTTAATTACTGTAGTGGTGTTGAGAAAGGGGCCACCATGCTACTAAATACTTAAAAAAAATTAATAGAAAACGAATAAAGGTGATTCATCTGTTCACAATGTTCACAATGGAGTAAGGGGTTGTCAAAAAGAAAGTTGTTTTTGTTGTGTCATGTTAGCGCCCAACAAAACGCATAATGCATGCAAGTTAATGTGTGTGTGCATCACAATGGATGTATGAGCGTTTGTTTAATACAGTGACGGGTCATTTTGACCCGAGGACAACAGGAGGGTTAAGAGTTTGCTCTTAACCCTCCTGTTGTCCTCGGAATCAAAGGTCTACTACATTGCAATGTGTGCATCCATCTGTTGCGCTGTCTTTGCTTTTGCTGCTTTTTGCACAGGAAGTGGTCACCATGGCACCTGTGTCACAGATGACAGCATTTCGGTTCCGGTAAAACAGGTCACACCACCTCCTTCAAAGGCTGAAATAACTGGAGTTCCTGATCTCATTCTGATATTCTTTTGCCCTAACCATGCATTTGAAATGAGAGCATGACGTAGACAGCGAGCTAAACAATCCTCCAATAAAAACACGAAGATGAGAATCCACCGTTTAGTATTTTTATGGAAGTCTTTCTTGTAAAACTGTACACAAATAGAAACACAACACAAATGTTTGTATAGCATCCAGCTATACATATGAAATGACATTTGACACTCTTGTAACAGACCCTATTCTCTTGCTTATTCAACAAATCCTTGGTAAATATCTACAGAGATGAACTGGTGAAATATTTATATATGACAATAAATAACTTGCCCAACAAACAGTAGTATGTACAACTGTGTAAATGTACTTACAGATTGTGTCTGAACGTGTCAAAAGAAAGCGGATGCGATTGGTTGTTGTCACACCTCTCCACTGTTACACTGTTATGACTCAAAATGGCTACCCCACTGACTTTTTGGGTGGTTCTAACTACTTCCACCACCAAGGGCACTGTACTGAACTGTAATACAATACTTCTATCACGAGGGGCACTGCACTGCACTGTAATGCAATTACTGGGGGCAGAATACTCCCCACCTGGCATCTGTAGTATGGCAACCCAATAAACCAACAGGAAAAAACAATGAACATCATCAAAGGCAAGTATCAATGTATTATCCTCTATCTA